GGAGCTGAAGAGTAAAGAAATCCCCAAAGCCAGGCAGGATGGTGTGACGGTTGCCGTCCTTTCTGGAGAAGCTCTGGGAGTAGAGGTGAGCCGCGCCGTTCCGTGTTTGGGAAAGCAGCCATGTGCGGTCACGTGAGGCTGGCCCCAGTGGGGTCCCGGGGTCTGTAGTGGATCCCAGCTCGTATCCCACGGGTGGACTTGCTTTAGAGGTGTCAGAAGTGGTGGAACCCAAAGTAACCCAAAATTCCGCTTTTTTTTTCTTTCTGATTTATGTTTCTTTCTGATAATGGTCTTTGTTTTCCTCTATGTTATTTCCATTGATTTTTTCTTTTGTTTTTGTCATGGTTCATTTTAATGAGATGCTATGAGGAACTCTAAGTTAAAAATCCCAGCTAGGAAATGCAGTCATCCAAATGAATTCTGGCTGAATTTCCTTCTGGAGACTTTAAATAAATAAATAATGTGTGCTGAGAAATGAGAAAGGAAATAGTACAAGGCAGAAAATCTTTTGGTCTCCCTTTGTTTTGTTTTATTGAGATTTTTTATTTATTCATTTGAGAGAGTATGAGCAGGCAGGGGAAAGGCAGAGGGAAAGCTAGAAGCAGTCTCAGGGTGATCAGGGAGTCCGACGAGGGACTCGATCCCAGGACCCCGGAATTATGACCTGAGCCAACAGTGGAGCCTTCTCAGCTGCCCTGGATCTACACAGCCATCTATTTTCACTTTTGAAGTAGTGGGTTTTGGGACTGACAGTTATGAAATCCACGTGTCCCATTTCTCTGTGAACTCCGTTCGTTCAGTCATTAGGCACCAGCCGTATGCACATTATGCTGTGCCCTGGAGATGGGTGACTAAGATACAACCACCGACCCCAAGTAAAGTCATGGTTTAGCAGGGGAAGAGAAACAGGCACTCATCAGAGGTATGTGATGCATGAAAGGTGATGTCAGCAGCAGGCAAAACCTCTGTGGTCATCCGGAGGAGGGAGCGACCGTCGATTTTGCTTATGTGCATAAAGCAAGGTAAAGGAAGAAAAGACGGGTCCTGGCCCCGTCTTAAAATGGCTTGTATAAAGGGCCTGGGTAGTAGGAGTGTGAAACCTATTTTGGGATCATGATCGCAGGCTCTGTGGATAACCAGATGCTTGTGTGGTGTGACTGGCAAAATACGGGCCAGAGGGAAATCCAAGACCAAGTGTGTCCACTCCTAGATTTTTGCCTAGAGCTGACCTTGGCTGCACGGATCCACCCCCGTCTCCCTCTCTCTCAGGTTCAAAGACCTGTCCTATGGGAGGCAGCCGTAGCTGGCACTTCATTTGCACTTAGGAATGCTCACATAAACAGTGGTCTGGATTTGCTGAAATCTGCTGTACAGAACGTTGCCCTTGCCCAGGGCGTTCCACTCCCCCTGAAATACCATTGTTGGTGCGCACAAAGGGTCTTCACAGTGTCCCCGATGACCTGGGGTACACATTCCAGCGGTGGGAATGAGCCCTTTTCCGGCAGTGAGTGAAGAATGGATAGGTGTGCTTTTAAACCCAAGGTTACATCTTGTGCCCTTCGTACATCGTGGCCCTTGGCCCTCAGGATGACAGATTAGCCAGGAGACTGAGAATAAGCGTGTAATGAAAGCCATAAAAAACCCAGGTGTTACCCTCAATAAAGGTGAGTGGACATTTTATTAAAGATCACTGTAATCACTCCTGTGGCTCTCAAGGCTTGGACTTCCAGGAGATAGTAAGTCTTTCCCCAGGAACATGTGACTTATTTTTTTGTAAGCAGAGTGGAAAATACAGACCCGCTCCAGAAAGTTACAGACGCTCTCGTGTGTTGCCTTGAAATGAGCTCTTGTGGATACAAACGAGGTACGTGTTAGTATTTTAGAGACCGGGACTGGCATGAATGAAGCTGTGTTACTGATAGCCGCAAACACACTGTTTTATTTTGTCCAAAGCAACTGCACTCAAGATCATCTACCTTACGAACAATTCGACCAAACTCAGGATGAAAGGGGGGGAGAAAATTTGGGGTCAGATACCATTCTGATTACATGAAGCTTTAAGAATTCTGCTCCTGTGGATTGGTAGAAGTACTCCAAGATGGACAAGAGTTTTTCAGTTTCAACTCACAGGGGCCCTAGAACACTGATAGGGTTTACTCTGTTAAGGAAGCACGTGTGGTGGTCTTAAAACCCCAGGGAAGACTTTTCATCATTCACTGCCTGTCCTTGGGCTGTAGATCGAAGTCAGGGAGCTGGAAGGGCACAGCTGAAGGTACAGACAAGCACATCAGCTGCCAACACACGTCTTCTGTGCTGAGTCGCCGGCCTAGTGAACGTGACAGGTTTAGGGGAAGGCAGACTGGAGGCTCAACCCAATCTGAAGGTTGAGGAAAAGCAGGCCCGAACCAAGTCTGCAGGAGCCACCTGACCTGGCGAAGAAGGATGGAAAGGGTCTATGCAGTGCGAAGGAGACAGCAGGAAGCCACAGACGTGTTTATAAGGTGTTTCTGCTTAAAGACGGCAAAAGAGCCAGTGGACTAGCTTCATGTTTGAAGAAGGCTTTCAAAGCATATGCTCGTTGTTTTAAGCACAAAAATGGGAAAAATGATCATCTTTACCACGTAAAACTTTTCTGATCTTTTCTCTCCCTCCCTCTCTTTCTCTTTCTTTTTTAACTTTTCAATGTCATTTTCTTTTGTGTCTAGACCAGTGTTGAACATAGCAGTAGTGTTTCACCTGGAGTAACTGTTCTTCTGTTTTCTCTGCCTCCCCCCCAAGTGGTCAAAACTAAATCTGTGCAAAATCGCAAAGATACAGTGTGCTCATATCCTTATCTGTGAGAGTCACCCATGTTAAGAATAAAGCAGTTACATTTGGAATACAACATGCATGGCCCAAGACCCAGTTTGTCAAGTTTCACTGAACAATAAAATGATAATTTGCTTCTGTTTCTTGAAATCTTTTTATAGATTTTTAAAAATTTATTTGACAGAGAGAGAGATCACAAGTAGGCAGAGAGGCAGACAGAGGGGGGAAGCAAGCTCCCTGCCGAGCAGAGAGCCTGACGTGGGGCTCGATCCCAGGACCCCGAAATCATGACCCGAGCTGAAGGCAGAGGCTTAGCCCACTGAGCCACCCAGGCGCCCCTATTTCATGAAATTTTAAAGCTCCCTTGTTCTCTTGGCTTCCATGTAGATGGTCATTTTTGACATTGTGGAAGGAAACCACGGTGGCCAAAATTTTGCTCTTGGTGCAATTATAAATAGCACTGGGAGAAGTTTAAATCATCCTTGTAGAGGAAATCGTTTTGAAGTCCAGAGCACAAGGCTCTTCTATCCCACTGCCTTCAAACGCTGCCTGTGGTCAGTTTTCCTCTCCTCCCTGGGCTCTGAGAACAACGCTGGCTTCCAAGAAGGGATCCACAAAAGAGGCAAAGCGACAGCGGGGTTGGGGAAAGGAAGAGGATAGAGAACCTAACGACCTTTTCTACTCTATCCTGGTTCCTTTGGCATTGATTTTTGTGCCTTTCCATCCTCTCTCCTCCGGAGTGTTCTCTCAGAAACCCGCCTCCCTTGACCACCCTGTCACCACCAGCAATTAAATGTTCTGCGAATCGAGCCTTGGCCAGCTCAGCTTGCCAGGCGTCGGCACCGCTTACATCTTCGTGTGCTTTGGAGATTTTGAGCGTCTCCGAGTAACTCCCAAGGCTTGGGTGGTAGATTCTGTCTGCACTGGATCCTGATTCAAGGCCATCTGTAACTGATCAGTGCAAACATTTCCAGCAAGAGAGTTCCTGGGGGGCGGTGATGAGCTGTTTTCACAGGTTTTAACTGCCAGAGTTTGTCAGCCAGACAAAAGCGCAAGAGGACTTAGAGTTGAGTGGAAGTCAAGTGGAGGGAGCCGAGGTAGAGGAGAGAACCAACACGTCACTGTCCCCTCTTCCCCTCCCAAGCTCAGGATGAATTGAGACAAGACTCAGGAGTTAGCCAGATGGGGATCCAAAGAGCACCTTTATTACTGGTAAAATCTGGGCAAGGGCACATGACTTGTCTCTTGAGAACTTTTGAGCTTTTAATACTTCTTCCATTTCATGAAACATGTTCCGGCAGAGCTTAGAGGCATCCTTTTCAGAGGCTGGCCACTTAGCTCGTGGCAGAAGAGACAGACAGACAGAACAACCTAGCTGAGTACGCTCAGTTCCTGGGTTTGCCCTTACCGGCCGGATCCCATCCTTCCCTCTCCCCTCCACCCCCCAGGGATAAGCGAGGAAGGCAGAGAGCAGCTGGCTGTTGTCTCATGGGGACATTAGGGAGGGGTCTGGAGGCTCCCCCAATGTTCCTCTGCATGTTGTTTTGGTAACTTACTGGACTTGACATTTAGCAGTGACCGCCCCCCCAGCACCCCGCGTCTCAGGGAAGGACAGAAGCTTGTCAGTGTGGGCCTCTTCCCACCAAAGCTAACTTGAACTCTCTCAGATAAATTTTACCCCCAGAAGGGTCTGAAATGAGTATAGAGAGTATTTTCATTAAATTGATACCAAGGTGCTTTGTGTTCTAGGCTACACATTCACCTCCTCTCCTAGTTCCCTGTCAAATTATTCCCAACCGTGTTGACAGGTGTGTGAGAAGCCCAAGCAGTAGCATAAAAATTACCTAAATATTAAAATGTCCCAACCTTTGAACCCACCTCTACCCCATCATCACATTTCTAGGAAGAAATCTAAACCCCTGATCTAAAACCTCTTGGCTTTATAAACCGAGTCAAAAGAAATGATAATTTCTAATTATGTGCTAAATAAAGTCCCAAAGCCTCCTCACCCAGCTTTAATTCTGCCTTGCTTGTGGGGGGAGTACGGATTTTCTTGTCCTTTATAAATGCCGCAGCCTGGCACGTTGCCTAGACTGGACAGGGCTGTCAGGACGCCAAACTTGAGTTCTTCCTACCCCGCTTCTCCTTCATCTCACTTGAGAGGCAGTACTGGAAGGTAGTAAGAGACACATTTATGGCAATACCAGCCCTGGTTCCGTGAGATTTCACTATACAACCAAATCTCTGAGCCCTGGAGTGGTGATATCTGCAGAAAAT